AAAAAAAAAAAAAAAAAAAAAAAAAAAAAAAAAAAAAAAAAAAAAAGAGGGACATTTATAGCAATAAATGCCTACATTAAGAAAAAAGAGATCTCAAACATCTTAACATTAACCTCAAGGAACTAGAAAAGAAAAACAAAGCCTAAAGTTAGCAGAATGAAGGAAATAATAAAGATTAGAGCTGAAATAAATAAGAATACAATACAAAAGATCAATGATACTAATAGTTGAATTTTTAAAAAGATAGACAAGATTGGCAAACCTTTAGCTAGGCTAAGGATAAAAGAAGACTCAAATACATAAAATTATAAAAGGAAGAGACATTAAAGCAGATACCACAGAAATACAAACGATCATAAGAGATTATTATGAATAATTACATGCCAATAATTTGCATAACCTAGAAGAAATGGACAGATTCTTAGAAATGTACATCCTGCCAAGACTGAACCATAAAGAAAGAAAATTTAAACCGATCAATATGAGTAAGGAGATTGAATCAGTAATCAAAATCTCCCAATGAAGAAAAGCCCATGATCAGATTCTTCTCTGGTCAATTTTACCAGACATTTAATGAAGAATTAATGCCAATCCTCAAATTCTTCCAAAAAATTGAAACGCAAGGAACATTTCTAAACTCATTTTATGAGTCCATCATTGCCTTAATACCAAAGCCAGCCACGGACACTATAAGAAAAGAACGTTACAGGACAATATCCCTGATAATTTAATTTAATAAATGCAGGTAGAATCTAGGCTGGTACAAAAGTAATTGTGGTTTCAAACTATGAATTTTAAATAATTATAACTAGGCTCAAACACATCTTTATTAATCAAAATAGGAACAATTACAATCAACAAATTTTTGCCAATGAGAAATGTTTGTTTATTCATGTAGTATAAACATCCATGCTTTGGGATTTGATAAACTCTCGGAAAGCATTTTCTGCATCTTTCTGTTTGTGGAAGTATTTTCCATGCAAAAAGTTGTCGAGATGCTTAAAGAAGTGGCAGTCATTTGGCTAGAGGTCAGGTGACTATGGAGGATGAGGCAAAACTTTGTAGCCCAATTCGTTCAGCTTTTGGAGAATTGGCCTACCATGTGCCATAGGGTGTTGTATTAGTCTGTTTTCACGCTGCTGATAAAGACATACCCAAGACTGGGTAGAAAAAGAGGTTTAATTGGACTTGCAGTTCTGCATGCGTGGGGAGTCCTCAGAATCGTGGTGGGAGGCAAAAGGCACTTCTTATTTTTATTTTATTTTATTTATTTTTAAGATAGCGTCTCTCTCTGTCACTCAGGCTGGAATGCAGTGGCATGACCTCAGTTCACCGCAACCTCCACCTTCTG